TTTTAAATAGCTCAACTGGAATTCTATCACTTCCACTAGCTTTGTTTGTAGTGATGCTTCCTAAGGCCCGCTTGACTTCACACTCCAGGATGTCTGGCTCTAGGTGAGTGATCACACCATCGTGATTATCTGGGTCATGAAGATTTTTTTATGTGTAGTTGTTCTGTGTATTGTTGCCACCTCTTCTTAATATTTTCTGCCTCTCTTAGGTTCATACCATTTCTGTCCTTTAAAAGATTCTACAGGCACTAAAAAAAAAAAAAACATGCTGTAGTCCATGGGGTTGCAAAGAGTTGGACACCACTGAGTGACTGAACAACAACTTGGTCTTAGTTGTGGCATGTGAACTCTTAGTTGCGGAATGTGGGGTCAAGTTCCCTGACCAAGGATCACACCCAAGCCTTCTGCATTGGGAGCATGGAGTCTTAGTCACTGGGCCACCAGGGACATCCCTTTAGGCACTTTTTATATTTGCTTTTAAGAAATCACTATTCTAAAACATAAAATCATTATCAATATGAACTATGTATTAGTTTGTTAGACAAATATGTTATATTGATTTAATATAAACAACTCCTTAGGACAATAATTATTAATCTAGAAAACCATATAATGTATTTATATTATAATGAAGGACATAATTTAATTATATTCTCTTCAGTTCAGTTCAGTTGCTCAGTTGTGTCCGACTCTTTGCGACCCCATGAATCGCAGCATGCCAGGCCTCCCTGTCCATCACAAACCCCCGGAGTCTACTCAAACTCATGCCCATCGAGTCGGTGATGCCATCCAGCCATCTATCCTCTGTCATCCCCTTCTCCTTCTGCCCCCAATCCCTCCCAGCATCAGGGTCTTTTCCAATGAGTCAACTCTTTGCATGAGGTGGCCAAAGTATTGGAGTTTCAGCTTCAGCATCAGTCCTTCCAATGAACACCCAAGACTGATCTCCTTCAGGATGGACTGGTTGGATCTCCTTGCAGTCCAAGGGACTCTCAAGAGTCTTCTCCAACACCACAGTTCAAAAGCATCAATTTTTTGGCGCTCAGCTTTCTTCACAGTCCAACTCTCACATCCATACATGACCACTAGAAAAACCATAGCCTTGATCAGATGGACCTTTAGGCCAGCTTAAATTGACTTTGCAGCCTGAGTTCTTCAGTTCGTGTGTGCTCATGCATGTGCGTTGCAGGGATGTTTGTACAGACTATTCACCTGAATACCATCTATTTCCTGGGCCCAGTTCTGGGCCTGTAGGTTTTGAAAATTGTTTTCTTTGTTTCCTTTTTCAATTTCTTGGCTTCCTTCCCATGTCTCTTTTTACCACTTCCCAGCTGGGCTCTAGTTTTTAATTCTAGATACCAGTATCTTCCTTCTGCCACTTGCTTCTCAGGGCGCCTCTCAGCAACCTTCAGGACTCCAAAATTCCCTCTCTTCTTACCTTCCCATCAAAACTCATTCACACAGTCGTGTCCAACTGTTTGTGACCCCATGGACTATATCGTCCATGGAATTCTCCAGGCCAAAATACTGGAGTGGGTAGCCTTTCCCTTCTCCAGGGGATCTTTGGAAACCAGGGATCGAACCCAGGTCTCCCGCATTGTGGGCGGATTCTTTATGAAGTGAACCACAAGGGAAGCCCAAGAATACTGGAGTGGGTAGCCTATTCTTTCTCTAGCAGATCTTCTGGATCCAGGAATTGAACTGGGGTCTCCTGCATTTCAGGCAGATTCTTTACCAACTGAGCTATCAGGGAAGCACCATTCTGAGTCAGGAGTATTTATTGGTATCTTCTACTTACTGAGGTTTGAATGTTTCTTCTTTTTCCCACTTTTAAGTAGTTTATTAGTAAAAAATAAATAGCTCTGTCATGGTGAATGTCATGTCAGGCTGTGATGATAGTTTAATAAGCAAGGTTTCTTTTACTGCTCTGATTAATCTTCTCAAGTGCTCTGGCTCATGTGAGGAAAAATTTGCTGCCAGTGTGGAGCTCTTGAGAACTCCTAGCACATTTCCCTATGAAAAAAGAACTTGACAATTCTTCTGTTGTCTCTGTCATTATCTGATCTTCGTTTCTTACCAAAGAAGCTCAGTTATTATCCTGATTAGTGGCCTGGTCCTCGTCTCTGACCGGTGAGGGGTCTCTCTCTCCTTACTGGTGAATGGAGAGAAGCAAGGGTTGTCCCTCTAAAGGGGACTCAGAGGAGCTTGCTGTTTCTCTCTGATTTCTGACCTTGGAAATAGTTGGTTTAAACACAATAAAAGAATTTTGTAACAACAGCCAAGATACGGAAGCAACCCAAGTGCCATGCCCATCAACAGACAAATGGATAATGTATACAATGAAACATTATTCAGCCATTAAAAAGAATGAAATTCTACCTTTTACAGCAATGTGGATGGGCCTAGAGAGTATTTATGCTTGCTGAAATAAGAGAAAGACAAATACTGTATGATATCACTTATATGTGGGCTTACCTGGTGGTTCAGATGGTAAAGAATCCACCTGTAATGCAGGAGACCTGGGTTTGATCCCTGGGTTGGAAAGACCCCTGAAGGAGGGCATGGCAACCCACTCCAGTATTCTTGCCTGGAGAATCCCCATGGACAGAGGAGCCTGGTTGCCTACAGTCCATGGGGTCACAAAGAGTCGGATATGACTGAGCGACTAAGCACAGCACAGCATCACTTATATGTGGAATCTAAAAAATAGTACAAATGATGTACATGTAGAACAGAAACAGACTCACAGATATAAAACAAGCTAGTGGTTACAGAAGGGAGTGGGAAGAGATGGGTTCCCATTAGGGTTATGGGATTAAGAGATACAAACTATGTAAAGTAGATAAGCAACAAGGATATATTGGACAACACAGGGAATTATAGCCATTATCTTGTAATAACTTTTAATGGAGTATAATCTGTACAAATACTGAATCACTTTGCTGTATACCTGAAACTAATAAATCAATTAGACCCCTATAAAAAGGAATTTTGTAGTTAATCATTAGTTATTCTTTTACCTATTTTACAAGTATTTTACATCATTTAATTTCTGATTACCTTTTTAAAGTTTTATTTTATTTGATCAAAACAGCAAATGGAGAATAACTTCAGTTTTTTTTAATTAATTTATTTTTTTTTTAATTTTTTAATTTTTTATTAGTTGGGGGCTAATTACTTCACAGTATTGTAGTGGTTTTTGTCATACATTGACATGAATCAGCCATGGATATACATGTATTCCCCATCCCGATCCCCCCTCCCACCTCCCTCTCCACCCGATCCCTCTGGGTCTTCCCAGTGCACCAGTTGTTTCTGTTGTGGCCATTTTTCAAGATAGATTTTGTTTTTGTTTTTGTTTTTAGTAAAATTGGTTAGATTTTGCTTCTGATAATCTAAATATTTCAAATTCTCTGTTGTTTGGCTTTAGGTTTACTAAGCTATTTTTGCTTATTAAAGAAAATTTAGCCCAGATATGTAGAGATAGCAGTATTGGAAGAGACTAAAATCATTCTGATGGCATAAAGCAGAAAACATTAACTAGGAGGCTAAGAAATCTTCCTCTTCATCTAGGCATGTTTGGAGAATTTGACAGGAAAGCAAGTGGCAAAGTTATGTCTATTCTGACAGAAAGTCTGTTCCCTTTGTTGGCATAAAGGCAGAGACTCTGTATCTTTCAAGAAGAACCTGCTAGAAAAAATTGAGCTCTTTGATAGTTTTGACCTGAAAGAGATTTTCAAAAGCTCTATGCATCTGATTATACAGGTAATTTGTGAGTTCTAGTGTAAGCTCTGTACCACGGCATTGAATAATGGTCAGGTACCAACTTATAATTAATATCTGCCAGGATTTACAGCCTAGGAGGAGGTGGAAGAAATAGCCTTGTTAATCCATCCAGACAGTGTGTAAAATAAATTTTTATACCTTTGTAGCAACTTCAGAGAGCAATTTACAGTATTATGTGTGGGTTTCATAGAGGCATCTTTCTTTATCCTTGGTTTTTCTCTGGGAACATCTGTCACACACTGTTCTTTTTATTTTATTTACTATTATACATAAGCTATATTTTAGGTTTTGCTTGGTACTTGAGAAAGCCCAGGGGATATTTGCTTTGCTGTTATATTAAACTTCTTAACATAGTCTGATAGTTTCAGAAAACTAAGAACCCTTAGGAGGCAGAAAGACTAACTAGCCTGACAGCAAAGAAATGGGAATCAGAAACTCTAGGACCTTAAACTGCGACCTTCTCATATATAAAATGAGCTGTTCATTTAATTAATACGCAGCCGCCATCCTCAGGATATACTGTACTTTTTGCAGATAACTGGAAAGTTTTAAAATAAAGTAATCTAGCTTAAAATACAGCTGTGAAACTAGAGTCTTGGAGCTGGAAGGGATTTTAAAGGTTATCTTATAGCCAGGCATAGGGGTCCCTTTTATATATAGGGACTCATTTTATATATAGTCGCTTAAGTATTTCAGTGGCAAGAAGCACCTCTAAAAGCTAACCACAGTTATTAATCTAGTTTCAATAATCCAGAGAGAGTGCTGAGGAAGCCTAATAGTAATAACTCTTTAATGTAATGAAAAATAGTAATCAAAAGTTTTCAAATAAAACACTGTCTTAAATGCCTTTCTGTCCATTAGTCCCTCATAGTTTGTAACTGGTGTCCCATTAATTCTTGAAATATCTCTGATATTTTCATTTATGTTTGTTTGAATTGGGGAGGGGGGGGACAACTGAGACCTGTATTGGCTTAAGGGCTTTGATTTGCCCAGCATCAAAGCAAATCAGTAATTAGAACTGATCATTTCTTACTCTCTTCCTTGTGTAATCCCAGGATTTTCTCTGTTTTCCCTCTCCTTTGGCCCCTAGGAAAAAAAGGAGAGAGAGAGAGAGAACATCAGCTTGATGATGGATACTGATCCTAGTACATCAGTTAGAAATACTGCTAGCGTCTAGTCACTCACATTGCTTTGATGTTTCTTTCATCCTTCAGGCTTACTGTGGATTTCTTCGTCCTGGAGTTTCTTCAGAGAACCTGTCTGCAGTGGCCACAGGAAACTGGGGCTGTGGTGCCTTTGGGGGCGATGCTAGACTAAAAGGTGAGTGAGTCAGTTGTTATAAGAAGGATAATAGTTTTTTGACTAAGGAATAGAGTTAGTCCTTCTAACCAGATTTCTATTGGTCTATCATAATAAGGGATCACAAAAATCTAAAAGAAAAGAAAAAGAATATCTGATACAGTCCTTGTTTTATTGTGTATGCAGGAATCTGTATTTTTATTTTTAAATCTGTATTTTTATTCCCTGCAGAGGTTACTTATCTCTTTGATCTATCAGGCACAGCATTTAGTTGAATAAAGAGGCCAAAATGACTATGAAGTTTCAAAACAAACCACCCATGCAAGCACATTCCTTTAGAGTAGTGAATTTTATGGACAGGACTATTTCATTGAGTGACTCGTTCATTCACCAGACTTATGGCAGGTCTGCCACTCTCTAGGCACTGTGGTAGGTTCTGAGAATACAAAGGTGTATTCTGAGATGTGGTCCCTGCTTTGGAATTCATGGTCCAGCATGACCGAGAGAATGGCATGAGAAATGAGTGCTTTAATAGAGGTGCATGATGTGTGGGTGTGCAGCTTGGGAGAGCTGCATGAGTAGGCATTTGGTACTCAGAAAGGATAAACATTTCTTGCACTTTAGGTTTGTACCTATCAACAGAGCTATTGGTTATTTATCATATTATGACATTTTTTTTCCTCTCAAGAGTGTCAGTTATAGAAAATAGTATTATATTATTACATAGGATGACTACTATTCTTTATCAACCCAGCTGGTCTGACACAAGCTGAGGGTGCCATAGGACAGTCCTGACCTGCCTTGGAGTTAGTGTCGACCCTACAGGGTAAGGGCGCACATGCTCCACTAGAGCACCCCTACTACAGACTCAAGCTGCAAGTCTGGGGTTGGGCTGTCCTGTGCAGGGCCACCGGCACCTCTAATCAACCAGCTACCAGTTGGGAGGTTCCCACAAGCCCTCTGAGGTTTGACCATTTATTAGGATAACTCACAGAACCCAGGAAGGTGCTGTTACAATTTTATTATAAAAGATATGTGCAGGGTGAGATGGGAAGGGAATCCAGAGCTTCCATGCCCCTTCCCTGTGCTGTCAAAGCATATCAGTTTCCCAGCACGTGAATGTGTTTGTCATATCACTTTCCCAGTGTGTTTGTTTCCCATGAGTGTGTTTGTTTCCCATGACACCGACCTTTGGTGTCCAGAGTTTTTATGGGGGCTTCATTACATAGGCACCATTGGTTATCACTGGCCATGTTCCAGTTCTCCCTCTCCCTAGAGTTCAGTGACTGAAAGTACAATCCTGAAGCATTCTCGAGGCCCACTGGCAGTCACTGTCATTAGCATAACAAATACTGTATCACTCAGGTCAGTTCAGTTCAGTTGTTCAGTGTCTGACTCTTTGTGACCCCATGGACTGCAGCACGCCAGGCCTCCCTGTCCATCACCATCTCCCGGAGTTTACTCAAACGCATGTCCATTGAGTCGTGATGCCATCCAACCATCTCATCCTCTGTTGTCCCCTTCTCTCTCCTTCAATCTTTCCCAGCATCGTGTCTTTTCAAATAGTCAGTTCTTTGCATCAGGTGGCCAGAGTACTGGAGTTCCAGCTTCAACATCAGTCCTTCCAATGAACATTCAGGTCTGATTTCCTTTAGGATGCACTGGTTGGATCTCCTTGCAGTCCAAGGGACTCTCAAGAGTCTTCTCCAATACCACAGTTCAAAAGCATCAATTCTTCAGTCCTCAGCTTTCTTTATAGTCCAACTCTTACATCCATACATGACTACTGGAACAACCATAGCTTTGACTCAGGAAATGGAAAAGGTTTTGAAGCTCCTGCCAGGAACCCAGGACAAAAATCTGACAGATGTTTTGTTTATACTACAGTTATCAAAGTAACAAGAAAACAAAGCAAACATATAAAACAGCCAACTGGCCTTGATAGCTAAACTTAGATACAGATGAAATCCTTCTCAAATCCTTCTCATTGGGAATTTCTCTGTAACAGTTTGTGTAATCATTTGACCTTAGTGGAATCACACTGTGTATGCTATGCTCTGACCTCCTCTTTTAGAAAACCCTATAGTCTCATGATGGCTTGCAACACCAAAAACTGTCCACAATTTTTAATAGCTACATACTATTCAGTTGTATATACCTATATACCATTGTTCATTTCACCAATTCTCCATTCATACAGTTTTCTTTATTTTATATAAGCAATACTATAATATATAATTATATATGTTATACATAATTATTTTCTTAGGGTTAATTCCTAGAAGTGAAATTAATGACTCAAAGGATAGGGATACAACATATTTTAATGTTTACCACAAACGGTTCTTCTGAAAGGCAGTATCAATTTACAGTGTCTTCTTTGCAAAGGTGATCTCACCACTATAGGGTTTTGTCAATCTTCTTAATTTCTCTGAGGTTCAATAGTTTTTATATGTTTTATTGGCCATTTTTGTTTTGCAAATTGCTTGTTCATGTCATCTGCTCATTTAGCTTTTAGTCAGTAGATTTGGTTTTCATTGGCTTGTAATAACTCTTTGTATATTAAGAAATATTAATTATCTGTCATCCAGTTTAGCAACTGAATAACATATGTTACAGGTATTTTTCTCTGTTTTTTCATTTATTTCAGCCTGTTGAGTTGTGATCAGCCTATTGTCATATGGGGTTAATTTTTATGTGTTTACATTTTTGTGGCATGCAAAAAAACATTTCTTCTATTCCTTATTCTAAAGACTTAAACAGACATTTTCTTCATATTCAAAAATAAAAACCACATTATTAGTTTCAGTGTTTTGAATGTCTATAGAAGAAAGAATTTCTGGTTTTTATTTTATGAAATTCTTTATCACCCTGAATTTATTTGAGGAAACCTGTTTTTCACTCTGGACTTATTGATCTTATGACAGACACTTTTTTCTGTTTTTCTCTTAAGTAAAATAAATGAGTAGATTCATATCATCAATCCAGAAGCCAGGTCTGCCACAAGCTTTGGTCATTTGTGATGGACAATTTGGGAAGCTTTATAAATGTGTTCATTTTGTTTCTTTTCTTTATGGTGTATAAAAAAGCCTTTCTCTCAGACTGCAGCTTTGCTTGCTCTGGTGACTATTGAGGGTAGTATTCCAAGATTTTCGTTGTGTAATTTATTTTCACAATTATCAACAATTTCTGTTGTGAGCATGTATTTTTTTTCCAGTTTTATTTAAAAATAATTGACATACAGAACTATACAAGTTTAAGATGTCCAACATAATGATTTGACTTACATCATGAAATGAGTATCAAGTAGGTTTAGTGAATATCCATCATCTTATATAGATGCAACATTAAAGAAGTAGAAAAAATTTTTTTCCTTGTGATGAGAATTCTCAGGATTTATACTCCCTTTAACTTTCATTTATAATGTAGAACAGTGTTAATTATCATGTTGTACATTACATTCCTAGTACTTATTTATCTTGTAACTGGAAGTCTGTACCTTTTGGCTACCTTCATTTTATTCCCTTTCCCCCCACCTCCTACCTTTGGTAGCCAGAAGTCTGATCATATTTTCCTATGCGTTTATTTGTTTTTAAAGTATGATTGACCTACAACACTGTTAGTTCTTGGTTCACAACAGTGATTCCATGTTTCTATATATTTCAAAATGATCTCCATGATAAGTCTGGTTGTTTTCTGTCACCATGCAAAAACCTTACATAATTACTGACTGTATTCCCTACACTGTACATTCATACCCATGACTCCCTCCCAACTCATTCTGGCAACCACCTGTTTGTTCTCTGTATTTGTTACTGTTTCTGTTTGATTATGTTTGTTCATATGTTTTGTTTTTAGATTCAACCCATAAGTGAAATCATACAGTATTTGTCTTTGTCTGGTTTATTTCACTTAGGATAATACATTCTAGGTCCATCCATGTTGTTGCACAGGGCAAGATTTCATTGTTTTTTTATGGCCAAGTAGTAGTCTATTGTATATATACACCACTTCTTTATCCATTCATCTATTGATGGGCACTTAGGTTGCTTCCATATCTTGGCATTGTAATAATGCTGCAGTGAACGTAGGGGTACATATATCTTTCAAGTTGCATTCAAGTTTTCTGGAGAGAGTGGAATGGTTATTATTGGACTTCAGAGATACCACTGAGTTAATGGATTTGGAAAATGGCTCTGGAAACTTTTTTTTTTTAACTCTCTGGGAGTTGCTGATAATCAGCCAGGTTTAAGAAATACTACATTCTCTCCTTTAGTGTTGCATAGTTACCCTTCAATCTGTGGCCTCATTTTTAAGATGAGGAAACCAAGGTTTTATGCAGAGGCTAATAAAACTGCCCAAAGAAACACAGCTAACAATCAGAACCAGCGTTCATATTTGGCCTATTTTCCTCAAAAACCAGTATTGTGGTTGTGGTTGTTATTAGACAACATGTTGAAAGCATTCTGTGTTGTACTAAGTGCTTTCCTTAGATGTATTAGCTCATAACAGCCTACTAGGTATCAGGTATTTTTGTCTTTGTGACATAACTGAGGCAACGAGGTAAATAACCTCAGGTCACAAGGAGAGCAAGCAGCGGGACTAGGATTCAAACCAGGGTTGATGCCCAAGAGTTCAGTGTCTGTGCTTTTACAATTTTCATCTTTATTGGCCACAAATTCTGTTTCTAGATTTAGATTTGGAAATTGCCATTCTAGAGATGGTGGCTGAATTCTTGACATGAGTACATTTAAGACACCAAAGATTGAGGCTTTCCTAATATCCACTGGAGGATGGGGGTGGTTGGTAGGGTCACATGGTACCAAGATTAAAAACAGTAGCCAGGGCTTCCCTGGTGGTCCAGTGGTTTAGAATCCACCTTGCAATGGAGGGGAGACAAGTTCGATCCCTGGTCCAGGGAGATCCCACGTGCCACAGGACAACTAAGCCTGTGCACCACACCTGCTGCGCTTGTGCTCCAGAGCCTGTGTGCCACAGCTGCTGAAGTCCAGGCGCTCTAG